AGAATAACAAACAGCAGCAAGCAGTAAGATAAATCAATGAGATACAAGAACTATGTTGAATCAAATGAATCTATGGCATATTATATGTAACTTTTTTAGTCATTCCGTAATCTGACAGTTGAACATGCTTAAAGCAATCAGGTAGCAGCACAGCCTTTCTGTCGACTAAAAGATAAGAGGCTCTATCGACGACTGTATTGTTTTTGGCATTAATTTTGGCACAAAAAAAATAGTTCGAAAGTGAAGAAGAAATTGGTTCGGAGACTCTTATTGTATGAAATTGAGGTTTATCACCAGTTGACAAAGAAGACAAATTATAAATTTTGTCTTAGGATCAGCTATATTTCTCTGATTTGGATATAAAAAAGCAACATTATATTTTAAATACTAGTTTGACTCTCGATCTAATGACTTGTAATGATTTTCGTCAGATTAGACAATACAGTTTTTTCTACACTAGATTCGTATAACTGATCCACTTTGCTTTATCACAAATTCTCTTGTTTTGTTCTAAACAAAATTAAAATCAAGCCCGAAAAGAGCATTATAGGTTAGATTATAAACTTGACAAATAGTCTCTTCAAAATTATCACAAAGGAGAAAATGATGAGATCTTTTTGAAGCTGGTTGTTTCGAAACCATCTTTTTCCTATCTTGTGTGACATTTTTGAAAACTTTAATGAAAAGTTCAACGCACTGCTTTTGGATAGGAACAAAACAGATTCTACATCCACTTCAATGTCTGAACTTCGCCCGAATATTCAAGATCTTCATCGAGTTCCGCTTCTCTATCCTTTTTGTTGTCTAGCTGCTTGCCTTTTTCTCGAAGATTCAATTATTGACTCTAAGCTTGCTTTGAATTGTGAAAGTCGATGGATATTTATTGTTTCACAGAAGAAAAATTATCCATTAATCACTAAGTTCAGACAAATTTTTTCATAAGATATGCACCAATACTAGAGACCAAAAAGCTCTTGTTTAATTTTCCTTTGTCCGTGAAAGGGCAGTAAAAATCAAAGTAATATCGATCACAATTAACCCGTTACATTTTATCATTAATCACGTCTATTTTATTGAACGAGCCGGATAATGAACTCACATAAGCTCATCAGTTAGTATATTGTTCTAATCATTTGGTAAAAAGTCAATAGATTATTTTCCCGTTTTTTTTTTGTATTAATATTCACGGATAAGTCATTATTGATCAGTCTAGGAAGAATAGTGCTGATTGCAGACTTACGACTTACTAAGTATTGAATAAAATGAAAAGGCCCGCAAGTTAGTCTTCGGAGCTAGTCCCTTAGTTCAATTGCAACTATATATGTTATGTCGAATTTAAAGTTGTAGTTCGATTCATCCTTCTATGAATCAATATGAGCGTTATTGTACAAAGTGTTTGAGATCTCTCACCTGATTGAACTGTATAAATGATCATATTAGATGTCACGATTAAGATCACATTATTTTCTTAGAAATCAGTAGCTTCCATACTCCAGAACGTTCAGCTTACAATATCGATGAGGGCGATGATCTACGTCTTGTTTCCATCCCCACCCATGTGATACTATTTTTACAACTGCGCCGTAGTTACGTGCAGAGACAATTTTGCGTGTCCGTTGTGCGCAACTACGAAATTTTCATCGTAACTGTACGTAAGTGCGACGCAACATCTGAATGTGGCGCACTGCTGAAATCCGGATAACCACGATGCAGTATTCGCATTTTACTATTCTCTTTATCTGAAGTCAACCATTAGGAAACAGTTTCTGTTAACTTACAATTGGTCACATCCTAGTACCAATATTTGACCATGGAAGTACCACATAAAAGAAATCGTTAATGATGATGACTTTCACGGTTCATTCCTACACAAACAGAGTAAGTATTTTAAATGCACTTTTTTAGGAATCGTAAGAGAGTCATACGAGGTTGACTTTTTACTTTTGGTAGTAATTTTTTATGGTGCTAATATTTTTTCGTAATTTTACTATTTTAAATACTTTTCAATTTGTTTTCGTAATTTTATTTATTGTAATACTTTCAATAATTTTAAAACGTTTCAATAAGTTGTGTGCCAACTAATCAAACACAGTCTGTAGTGCGTAGTCGGAGTTGAAAGTTAGATCTTTATTGCATCCATAACAGTAGTTACATTCTATTTTCTAGTAGTTGTGAGCTTCAATTCTGCATCAATTAGAAAAATCAGCGACTTTATAGTAAGACTACTGCGATGTATTCTACATGTAGGTAGGTTCTTTTACTCATGAAAAAGTAATATTTCGTCTATTTTTAAATTCTGAGATATATTCTGGAGTCTATGATTATATGTCAGTAAAAATGTGTATGTTTTTTTCGACATGTATTGCAATTGGAGAAAGATGATTTTCATAGCATAGCAGTAACTTTTAGATTATAAGTCGGATTTGTTTTCAAGCACTTCACTTCAAGTTATTATTAATGTATATTTTATCTATTCTAGTTAAATGCTTCGTTTCAAAGCCTCTATAATCAGTTGTTGCAATCATATCACTTATACAAGCAGTAACAGTTGACAAAGCAATTGTTACTATAAACGATAGACAAAAAAAAGTTGATTATTTTGTAACTGGATCTAAGATCATGTTTAATATAAAATAATAATCTGAACTGATGAATGCAGCTGAGCAAATACAAAAAAAACACAGATTGATCTATTTCATCATGAAATACCGTTCGAAAGAAAAGAAAACGATCGAGATTTTATTTTATCCGTTGGTTCTTGGCCAGGCATCGAAGCCAAACAGAAGACCAATGATTAATGTAATACCACACAATATTGATATAATACAAAGAATTAATGCACAGCTATTAAGTTTATTTGAATCTAGTATGAACCCATTACGGAATTTTATTTGGGCTTTATTAGCAAATGCAAAAGCCAATAAACCTAGAAAAAAAATTGCTAGAAAAGAAAACCAATTCATTTAGGTTAACATACCAGTTGGAAAGAATAACATTATACAGAGAATAGCTAGCCATCGCCAATCGGATGGACGACGTGGTGCTTGAGGATCAAATTTTTGACGACGATTTACTAATGTTGCTGAACTTTTTGCAACTGACGCTAGTGGATTCAAGCCTTGAGTGTTAAATATTGATTGACTTGAATATAATGGATTTGTTGGTCGAACTTGAGGATATTCTTTAAAGATAAAAATGAATCAAATTTTTATTTATTTATTTTTTCTCGCTTTCACCTGAAAATCTGGATATTCGACTCGGTATTGAACTGTTTGATCGTTGATCATTTTCAGTGGTATGTTGATTAGTATTCAAATCGTTGCCTCGAAGGTCAATGCGAATATCATTAAAAATAGGTTCACCATTATCTTGCGTGCCATAACGCATCTAGAATCGAAATGCATCATATTCTAACTTACGATCCAAAGTAAAGAATTGTAGAGATAAAACATTTTTTCTAAACAAATGGGCCTCGATTTTAGGCAAGTGTGTTACGTACAAGTAGAAGATGATTTCTTTTTTTCTTTTCTTACTAGTTATGCTCTTTTGATTGCAACAACGAGTCATACCAAAAAATTTTTAGTTAAAGGAGAACGAGAACAGGAAGAAAAGAATGAACAGAATGATAGCCATTCATACATGAGTTCTCTTTGAGATTGAAGGTTAAATCATTCAACAAAAAAGAGAAGAGGTCGGTGAAAAAATGCATATGCTCGTGTTACGTAATTGACACATTAAAAATAGTTTTTCGTATTTGTTAGAGCTCTGCTTGGACACGCTTGAAAATTTTCAATTAGAATAGATGAAGAACTTTTTTTTTTAAATAGATTAACAACGGCATATAGCAGTGATGAAATCTTCAAGTGAATATGATAACAAAAATTGATATGGATATATCATGGAATTTCAAGGCCATTTTGTGTTCATAATTGATTTTGCAAAAAAAAATAGAAATTTTCTTTTTTTCTTCAATGTACCGTACAAAATCGATTTCAGGCATGGAAGTTACGTAATTCTTAGATTCATTATCAGCCACATCTTCAAAATGACTTTAACATTAATATGAAAGTACGCAATCATGTCGATGGTTACTAAGATACTACATGCTGCTAAGATTCAACAACAAAATTAGTCTTCTCCGTATAGAAATTGAATTTGCTCAATCAATCCTGTTGCCTTACAAAAACTATTCTGGCATACACTTGTGAATTTCGACTAATCTACCTATGTAATTACGCTTTAATATTGATCAAAGTGGAAATCAACCGGAATGTAAGATGATTTTTCAGTATATCTATAATAAGCAAATATCTGGGTGAATGTTGAAAACTTTAACTTGAATCAATTGAATCTTGCAGCAAATTATCAAGAATACTAAAAGCAAGTCAAGGGGGAACGGCGGATTTTTTGGGATTATAAATCTAAAAAATTCCAAAGTTGAAGAGCATCCCCCTGAGAATGACGTAGTTTCGACCTGAAATTCTTCCCATATATAGGTTTCATGGTTCATAGAAAATCCTAAAAGTTTTAACTCGAACAAATATTTTCTTCTTAAAATATTGAATTTTCCGAAAAAAAACTGGATTTTCTGATCGTGCCATGAAATGAGCATTTCTTGCGCATTCATTATCTTGAGAAAAAAACATCCGTTTGCGCTGAAAATTTTAGAGTATTCTAAGGATCATGAGACCTGCATATGGAAAAAAATCAGATGGAAATTCCATCATTCAGGGTTTGGATTTTGAAAATCCTAAATCCGCCTTTTCCTCCTTGAAGCAACTCATATTGATTTTAGCCGATAATGATTTGTGTCAGTGAGATATTTGAGCTTTTGGTTTTGGTGAAAAACTAAGAGGCCTTTAGATTTTCATGTAGTTAATTATCACTGATATTCAATTTATTATTTCGAAATCGCTAAGTTTATTAGTAAATGATAAGTATAACGTTTGATTATGTCATCATGTTCGACGAGGAATTGAAAACTCATAAAACCATTTTGATTAAGAAAATCCGGTAGTAACACCAACATGTTTTGGTTGTATGGTGAGTCCTGTAAAATGTCCACCTGAATTAATTTTCGGTCCACCATCTCCAAATGTTACTCGTTGTAGCATTCTGGCAATAATCGCTTTAAGTTCAAACCGTGCTAAAGCTTGTCCAATGCATTGGCGATGTCCAACACCGAATGGAAGCAATGTGTATAGATGATGATTTTTGTCTTCGTTTAAAAATCTTTCTGGAGCAAAGCTCTCAGTATCTATTGACCAATGTTGAGTATCGTGCGCCAAATTGTAAAATGGCATCAACACTGAATCCCCCTTGCTTAATTGGAAGTTACTTTTTGGAAGGCGGTCCTCAACCGTTAATGTACGAACAGTTCCAGAAGTAATTGTATGAAAGCGCAGAATTTCGTTGATAACACAATCCAAATACACTAAAGAATCAAGCTGATTTAGTGTCAAATTCTGATTAACACTGACACTCATCAATTCTTCTTTCATCTTGTGTTGTACGTCTGGATACTCGCTCATAGCATGAATGAACCAGGCCAACACAGTTGATGTGGTTTCAAATCCAGCGACCATGAAAGCGAGGATCTCATGTAACAAATCTACTCGCGAGAGACCTAGTTAAAAGTCAACAAAAACATGTTATTGGAACTATTACTCGTAATCATAGATTATCTCAGAAAATGTTTGAAACATTGTAGATGGCTAATGAAGTCTTATAGCAGGAATATTCTTATTTAGTATAATGCTCCATTTACGGACTCTGGCAACACACTTGGAATGAATTCAACTGAAAATAACTTTTACCTGTTTTCTCATCTTCGCTTTTTTTCGCCTTTGCTTCTTCGTCCTCTTGCAGAGAAGCCACGAGTGAAGCAATCAAACATGTTCTCTTGCGTTCTGCTCTTGACTCTCTAGTCTGAGCCATTTCATTGTTCATCAGCTGATATATGTGACGTTCGATAATGGCATTCGCTTGTCAATGTCGATAGTTGAAATGCGTATACAATGTACCTACTATAGGTGGCGAATAGAATATCAATGCACACGAACTCATAAATACGTGTAATGCTCTCGTGAGCTCATTGTGATTCGAATCATATTCGTTGAGTGCATCAAGATTGTAGTCAACACTGATTAAACCAAATATTTCGAGCAGAAGATTTTGACATTGTCGTACAATGTCACAACGTACATGATGGCTCGGCATTGCACTCCAATTAGACAATAGCTTGTCAGTACAGTCGACAACTAAGTCAAAGTTATTGATGATTTTAGCTCGACGAAACAAGGGCATAGCGATCGCTGCATGTCGTTTGTGTTTGGAACCTATAGTCAATGAGAAATAACAAAAGCTATTTTCTTATCAAAAACACGAATAAACTAGAGACTAGCCTGTTAAAGTAATATATCCATTTGGAAAAAGAGTAGAAAATTGTTCAATAAACACATTGCCTTGATCATAAATATGTCGATTGATAAACATATGTTGAATATCATTTACATTACCAACAATAATGTAACGAGTAGGACCAAACCAAAATTGAAAACTTTCTCCGTAACGAAACTTGAATTCTGAGAAGATTTCAATTGGAGATTTACCATGCAGCAACATACCCGATCGAACTAAATTTCCGAACAAAAAATGTGGTGACAGGCCTGGTATAGGACCGCGAATGGTGTAATATTTGAGTTTGACATATAGAAGGAGTAAAAATATCACGCTTATGATCAGTAGCACTACCATAACCTGTATCTTATCAAAATCTAAATGTTAAGCATAAGTCAGAACTATTATTGTCAGAGAATACTACAGAGCGCTAGTATAGAACGCAGTACAATAAAAAAAAGAACCATGCTGAAACCAACATTGTATATACTTGTTGTTTTTCCTGATGTTATGGACGAATGTCAAAACTCATCTAATTGCAGCCTACATTTTCATTATACTATGTTATCCGAAAGACTTTAAATTAACTTCAATGCATCGCTATGAGATAGAATCTTTTTTTAATATGCGTTCGAATCGATCTAAAGATTTGAAGATGGTCTGATGTACAATATAAAGAAATCTTTAATGACTTATGACTAATGTAGATATTAAATGAAAGTGACATAAACATATCAAGGCGAAACAAGTAGACTAGCATCTAAAACAGATTTATTAATTTCCCTTGTCTTTGACACATCTAGCATGTTGCTTTTGTTGACTGAGTGTAGTAGGTTACTTACCAAAAAGAAATAAAATAACTTAAAAAAATTTTACAAAGTTTTGTCTGTTGAGACCCACTTGATAAGGCTCTATGTTATCTATACAACGCTGTCTACTTGTTATGTCGAATGATTTTTTTCTACCTATGCAGCATGGGAGAGTAAATATATTCGTTTCTTTTCTTTAATTTTGCCCTTTTTAATGTATTTGTTTACTATATTCTATCGCCGATTTATTTACACAAGATACCTATGAAACGATTTGTCTGAGTGGCTTGCTTACAGTCATCTTTGTACGAACAATAATTCACTACTTACCAGTCTCTTAAACGCTATCTAAAGACAAATAAAAACAGGAAAACAATCAAAATATATTATACGCACGGATATATGTATATGACAAAATGCCAACGTGTTAATTTAATTTAATTCTTAGATTACCACTGAACCTGTTTCTGAAACTCGTATAATCAAGCTAATATAACAAAAAGAGCAAAAATGATAGAAGCTACCAAAAACAAAAGATTTACAAATAGAAACGAAAACAATTTAATTGTATTCAATTCCAATAGTACATATGTAATAATTTGCACCTGAAAAAAAATAATTCTCATCATTTCATCATCATTTTCTGTAAAGTAACTAGTTTTGACTGACAACTTCTTTCCGTTAGATACTTTAATTCCAATTTATTTTTGTTGTTGTTAAAATCATTTGTGCTTAAATATGTTGTTTATCTGTGTGGTACGAACAAATGAGTGTATTCTCGTCAATGGCACATCCTCAAGTCCTTAACAACCAGCTGCAATCTATCCTTTTGATAATCTTCGTCGTCGCTAGAATTCGAAAAATCGCCAACAATTGCATGTGCTGTCATCCGTAGTTAATATGCAAATGAATAAAAAAGGTCTAACACTATAAAGTGATAATAATTTATCAGTTCGATAATCTTAATGTTTGTCAGATGGTTGCAGTCTTGTCGTTTCTTTTTTTTTGAATACATGGCAGAATGAAGCATGTAAAACGAAGAATAGGAATAGAGAGAAACATAACTAAAGTTAATGTGGCTAACCACTATTGTATTGTGTGTGATAGTTAGGTCAGTAGTATTTTTATCTACTCATAAAGTTGTTTAATTAGGTCATTATTTTTAGTCTTTTAGGTATGTTTCTATTCTCTAGATTTCAAACTATTCATCATTTCTTAGTTTATTAGATCGAGTAAAAAGTCAGTCATGCCACCGTTCTACTCACTACGATCAATGTTCATCAAACATCACATGTCGCTGCCTTCCACTAATGAATAATAATAACGGTAGCATCTGTGCTTTTCTGCATATGAAATGTTCTGAATTGATTTTTTGTGCCAACAATGATAGGACATGTTATCAGCCTGGCCATATATGTGTAAGTAATCCAAGATGTCAAAGTGTTCCATTGTGTTATTCAGTAGGTATGGTCCTCCTAACTGTATGTCCACCGATGCTACTAGTGACAATGAGTGAAAAGTGATGACGAAGAATTTCGTTCGCAAGTTTTTTTAATTTTCAGATCTACCGCCAATAATACCTGACGATGGTATATGCGAAAGTGTCACATGGAATACAACTGGAGTCACCGTGGCTGGAGCACATGGAGCAGGTTCGGAATTAAACGAACTCAATTCTCCTCTAGGATTATTTGTCGACAATGAAGGTGCTGTTTATGTTGTGGATACTTGGAACGATCGAATAGTCAAATGGACACCTGGAGCATACATTGGCAAAGTAGTAGCTGGTGGTAATGGAGAAGGCAATGCCAATAATCAGTTAAATCGTGCGTCAAAAGTGATCGTTACTAAGAATGGAACTATTGTTTATTTGTGATCGTGGGAACTCTCGCTTTTAACGATGGTTTAAAGATGACGATCATGATCAAACAATTATTGTAAATATTGCATGTTTAGGACTGGCAATGGATCATGAAGGATCTCTGTATATCTCTGATGATGAACGACACTGTATAATCAAATGGCCTAGTAACAACGTAGTAGCAGGTGAAAACGGAGAAGGGTCTGATATGAATAAACCCTTGGAACCTGCTCACGTATTTGTCGATGAAAATCAATCTGTATTTGTAATAGATTTCCAGAGTGCTAAAGTCATGCAATGGCCAGTAGGCTCCAAGGAATGTATTCTTGTTGCTGGTGGTAATGGGGAGGACGATGTTGCTAATCAGTTGAATGGAATAAAATATTCAACAATGATGTAAACTGTCCGACTATTGTAGAAACCGGTTAGTTTATCGAAAGATACGCAGATATCGAATCACTGATCCCAGTCCCGTGGTGGTGGATAGAATGGGGGCCTTGTATGTTTTGGACACAGAAAACCGCCGAGTTATGCGCTGGTTCAAGGAGTCAAAAGTGGGCAGTACTATTTTTGGCGGAAGGGGTTGGGGGTATTGGAATGTATCACTTGTCATTTCCAGAGGATTTAGCATTTGACCGGCAAGGAAACATTTATGTAGTCGATAACGATAATCATCGTGTTCAAATGTTTGCTATTGACAAAAGTTTCTGTCCCAAAACAATGGATTAAAACAATGTTATTAATGGAACGATCGATCGTATTGTATACATGAAAATGTTTTAGATTCTTTGATTGTTGTTCATGTTATTAATATAAACATTACTCATTCTTTTGCAATTAATACAGGGCGTGGGTTTCCTTATTGATCATCAACTGGCAAGTCTTTGTGTCACACCCACACAGTTCACACGAGTTTGTACATGATTTTGTAGATAATTGAAAACTAAATCTAATGGAGTTATTGAGAAAATATGAAGAGTCTCAGCTCTTCTGACACATCAATGACATATGTACATACGTATATGCAGATTCGTGATCATTTATCTCAAATCATATTCATTTTTTATATACTCTCTTATCTTCGTTGCTTCTTTTTTAAAGAAAAGAGTAGAATATGATTCTAGTCAATATATTGGATCAAGCTGAGATTTGGATACTTGTATTGTCTCAAACGGTATTATAATCAAGGGAAATTAAGTTACCTATTTCGATTAATTTCATAAGAATATGCATGATAATTGAAGTTCAAACATGAAAAAGTTAAGCGACTGATTCTCACATTTCTGTGTCCTTACCTTATACATTCATTGATAAGGCGCTTGCTGCATACTTATCTTACGCTGTGCTGTATATATTTGATTGTCGTTGTCATTTTTTCAGTTTGTTATAATGAGAATATTCTTGCAAAGTAAACTCTCGGTGTCAATCATCAGACGAACAATAATGCGTCGTATGGCGACTACTATGTATTCAATGGCGCGATCACAACCTAAACCTGAAGGCGATATTTCATCCGTGTTTGCCAGTCTCTCGGGTGTAGATGCTGGCAAACCTCTTGAACCTCGATTTTCACAATTAAAAGCACAAATCATCAGAGGTCACGAACAACAAGTCAAAGACAGCTGGTATCGTCTACTTGATGCTCTGAAACATGAAAATGATACGATTCGTTTTTCTGATAAATCAATTATTCCTGAAGTCGAGTTCAATAGTATAAAAAATCTTTCAGCTAATTTGGTAAATGAGATTCGAAACCGTGGGACAATGATCGTACGAGGTGTTTTGCCTGAGAACGAAGCATTGAAATTGAAACTCGATGCTGAAGATTACATCAAACAAAATCCTAACACGAAAGCTTTCCCCAAAGATAAACCAGTCGTATACGAATTGTATTGGTCACCTTCACAAATTCGAGCTCGTGCTAATTATCGAGTAGCTGAAACTCTTGCTTTTGCAAATTCATTATGGCATGCATCACCGTCAACTCATATCTCGTTGAGCGAGAATATTATCTATGCAGATCGCTTACGAATTCGTCAACCAGGTGATACAGAATTTGCACTCGGTCCACATGTGGATGGTGGAAGCATTGAGCGCTGGGAAGACTATGAGTATAGATCATGCTACAAGTCAATTTTTGAAGGTCGCTGGGAAGAGAATGACTTTTTTGATGCTACACATCGTGTTGGCGCACAAATGTCTCTCTACAATACGATCGGTGGATGTTCCATCTTTCGTTCATGGCAAGGTTGGCTTAGTGCTTCGACTGTTGCTCCAGGTGAAGGTGGACTTTTGGTAAATCCACTTCTGAAACATGCCGCATCTTACTGGCTCTTACGACCATTTTTTACACAGACTCAAAATGGAAGCGATTGGGAAATCGATACAACGAGTATTTGGCAAGGTGCCATACCTGGTCGTGGACAAGAAATGAATGATAAACTGCATCCCCATTTACAATTATCTACATCAATGATCCCGATTCCCAAAGTTCGACCTGGTGACATGGTCTTGTGGCATTGCGATACGATTCACGCTGTTGATAGCATTCATCGAGGTCAATCAGATTCTAGCGTTTTCTACATTCCTGCAGTACCATTGTGTGAAATGAATGTAAAATATCTGGCTCAACAGCGTGATGCTTTTTTACAAGGCATTCCACCACCAGATTTTCCCGGAGGTGAAGGTGAATCACATCATATTGGTCGAGGAACACATGAAGAGTTGATCCAACTCAGCGGGGGACGTTCAATGGGCTTTGACTTGTTTTCGATCCAATCAGATATGCAAATAGGCGAAAAACAGATAATCACACGTGCCAACACCATTTTAAATCTATAAATAAACTGATTTTATCTCTCTATTGAACAATTCAACCTTATTTTTATTCGGTACATTTGATGGCAGTGAAAAACGTCTTTTCTCTTTATCTATAATAATCAATAATAAATGAAATGCATTCGATAATAGACAAAGTATGAATACAAATACATTAATCATGTTTTTTTCTGTTTTTTTACGTTCGATAAAAGTCAATCATTCAACTCCTCGTAGTGCTAGATGAACTCTAGTACGAATAGTACATAGTGTATTTATTGTGGTTATGACTCGAAAAAAATATCTTAAATAGTATTCTTAAAGTTAGTTACAAATAAAGAAGTTTACAAATTTGTAGTATTTTCCCTCTTTCTTAGTTTTCATGAATGACAGCTACGAAATGAATCCCGATGATATTGAGAATTCAGTTCAGTTGAATTGATCAATACCATGAGCTTTAGTAATTTTACATATAAAATGCGTACGATTCTGATGGACCTTAAATATTTTTCCACCCACACTCAATAATTTAAGAAGATATAATGTTTTCGAGTTTTCATGATATTTGGTTGCATTGCTTTTTATCAATAAGTGACACAATCGAAAATATCAAGTACTTGTTCTTGATTTTTTCTACGAAAGGAAAATCAATTTAATCAAATAAAAATAAAACGCTGGTTTCATCTGTTTTCCTTTTGCAATGTCATACATGAAGCATTCTAAAGAGACTCAAATATTCGCCATCTTGGTACTAAATTTGCTTTTATTTTTCTCTTCAAAATAGTTTTTTCTATTGATGGTTATATTTTATTTCATATGTTTTTATTGCTTCATAATATAACTAGGTTCAATCTATTTTCATTACTCTTATTTAGTTAGAAAATAAAATTCAACTACCACAAAAGAAAAGAACAACACCAATACAAACAATAAAGGTGAGTTTTTAAAATGAAGGAGAAATTTCACAGAAAAAATATTCATAGAAAGTATTGATTCATCAAAACTCGTTTGCGATACCATATAAACGAATAAAATCAATCATACAGACCATATCTAGCTAATCACGATTATCACTGTTTATAATTAAATGACCTGAGAACATAATATCAATAAGTATCTTCTCTTGTTGACGAAAAAAGAATGACTACTTAAGTATTTATTTTAAAGTCTTTTTTAAGAATTCCTTTTATGGCGAACTTGATTCTTCATTGATTATTAATTAAAAATGACGTTCAAAATCTTGTAAGGATTTTTGCTTGATATATATCTGTGTCAGAAATTTTGCAAGTGAGTCGAGTTCAGGTGCATTATCTGATTTTTGAACTTGATCGAAAATGAGAACAACCATCTCATCAAAATTTACATAAAATCCGATTGTTGGAATGGTTCTCCTGGGACAACCAAAAATAATAAGTATAAAAAAGATAAGTATATTCTAAGAGACATATTTGAACGATACTTGAATATGTTCTAAAATTCAATAATAGAAGACAAATAAATCTAAAAGTTTCTAAGCAGTATTCAGATAACTAAGCTAGATGTTGTCCTATTGCTATATATGTCATTCATTTTATATATTGTTTCTGGCTACTCACAAATAATGAACTAACACAAAGATACACAATCATTCATACATTTATTGACCTGCCGATTATCAATTATTCTGCTGAATGAACATTGAATAATGCATTTCTTACAATGAGACCAATATAGTAACAAAGAATAGTCTTCCGTCAGCTTCGATATTTTGTTTCTCATTGTTTAGTTCAAAAATAGATTTACTACCATGTGGCTCTAAGGTTACAATTATATCCGGTTTAATCGTTATCTCTGCTTTGGTATCTAACTTATAATGAAACAATGTTATGTTGATAAAATCGTCTTTTACGTCGTGGACTTTTCCAATATGAAATCCATCTATATAAATGATTAACATGTTCGATTTCTATTCGAATAAATTGAGTTTTTTTTAATTAGAAATAAATAATTAGAGAACCTGACAGCATTGGTTCTGAGCTAAATAATACTTCTTAGCATAAAGACTTACTGTTAGCATTTATCAGAGCAATAGCGTCATTACAATTATAATGTGTTTATTATTCAGTGGAGTGTGACCATTGCAGTCGTTGTTCGTATTCATTTCTAACATCAATCGCTGTACAACATTTAATGTATATCCATGTTAATTTAGAATATCATACCATTCTTGACAATAGAAGAAAATAATAGGTGCGGGTGTATGTGTAGGCTTTCGGCTACGAGAAGAGTCTCACCCACACCCTGAGATGAATTTAGTGTGCAGAGACGATTGTAAGATATTTCTTTTTCTATTACACAAAGTTCTTCTTCAGTTAGATTACAATTCAAAAAATTCAAGGAGGGAAAGCGAAACTCACTCTACTTAAAAACCAAATAAAGTACAATATAATAACAGTGAAGTAGCTATAGCAGGAGTACGCATACGCACTCCAAGAGTCTCACTTTTCCCCCTTGCTCACACTCACATCCTTAAGATATGAAAGTAGTGCTTACAGTTAAAAGTTGTTCATAAGATAGTAGAAGTTCAAGAAAAATTAGAGTATGTCTTTAACAATTACTTGATATGGAATATACGTATCTACAGTAGAAAATAACTATTAGTTTCGGTTTAGATAAACAACCATTGTCTTGTATTTTCTGCCAGTTACTGCTATATCTAATTTTCCACCATTATTAAAATCATAAATTGTTCGAGCATTTGGATAAGCAGCGATGGGAAAGACTTTCTGATAGAAATTAGACAGATTTCCACTGTTAATCAGAATATCGAATTGACTCGACCGCTGGCTAATAACTCCTATGTCTAATAATGTATCATTGTTGAAAACGCCAGACACTAAAAGACTTGGACTATTAAGTGCAACAAATTTGATTTGATTTTCAAAGCTTCCATTTCCATAACCAACAAGAATACTGATTGTGCTTTCACCTCGATTGGCCACTATTAGATCACTTATTTGATCTTTGTTTAAATCAAGTGCTAGTACAGAAATTGGATCTTTTCCACTATTAAAAAGTCGTTGAAATTGAAAAGTACCACTTCCATTCCCTAAAAAACACTAACAGTTTGATCACCTAAATTAGCCACTACCAGATCCACTTTTATGTCATTGTTGAGATCACCTGATACTATGGGAGCCGGTTCGTTTCCAGTAGAAAAACGAATTTGATTTTGAAAAGTGCCATTGCCATTGCCGAGTAGTGCACTAATATTATTGTCCTTCACATTGGCGACCACTAGATCTAATTGAGCATCATTGTTCAAGTCATTCACAATCACAAATTTTGGTAAGAATCCCCTTTGATATGTACCTCGATGTATTAAGATATCATCGCTAACAATTATTAGTATACTCACACTTTTATCATATTCATTATTCAATACTAGGTCTGTTCTAAGTATTGTCGTTATTGAAGTCGCCAGCTGCCATATGGCTGGCTGTTGTGGAAAGTGTAAATGGTATTCGAGCTTGAAAGGTTCCATCGCCGTTGCCTACCATCAAAATGAGATTGCTGCCTTCGTAGTTAACTACTATTAGATCTGAATTCGATTTATTGCTAAAACTGCCTGAAACGAGAGACATTGGCATTTGTCCAGTAACGTATTTAACTTGAGGTTTGTATGTTCCATTCCCATAATTTATTAGTATACTGATTGTATTCTCACCAGTGTTCGTCAATCCAAGATCTAGTCTACTATCATTATTAAAATCAGCAGCTATCACATCGGTCGGCTTAACACCGACTTGATATTTGTTTGGACTCTGAAAACTTCCATTACGATTATCGAATAGTATGTTAACATAATGTCCATTCGAACCAGTCACTACGATATCCAATATATTATCATTATTTAAATCAGCAGCTACTAAACTATTTGAACCATTGCCAAATTCATAAGTTACTTCATTATGGAAGCTTCCGTTTTCATAACCGAACAAAATACTGATAGAAGTATTTCCACTATTTGCTACTGTCAAATCCAGTTTCGTATCATTGTTAAAGTCTCCCGATACCACTGAGTTCGGCTGTTGACCAACACCATAGATTCCGTATTCCGGAAAAGTTCCATCTCCGCCACCAATTAATATACTGATAGTGTTATCAACGTGATTGACTACTATCAGATCCACTTTCGAATCTTTGTTAAAATCATCAGATATCAGATCAATTGATTCTGTACTAACGGTATACCTATTTTTATATTCAAAACTTTCACCTTTATCACTAAGCAATATGACTAAATTGTTATCAAGTCCATTCACCACACTCACATCGATGATCGTATCGTTATTGAAATCCTCACAAATAGCAGAAAGCGGTCCATTACAAACTGCGTAGTCCATGTTAAATTGAATCGTTCCATCTTCATTGGTAAACATTGCAGAGATCGTTCCATCTTGTTTATTGATTACAAATAAATCCGTTGTTGTTTTACCCTTCCCATTGCTCAAAGCCACAAAAACTGAATCAAAACCTGTGTCAGATGTTGTTGGGACATCGTAGGCACCATTCCCACTGCCCATCAATACATCCACACTGTTATCTTCAAAGTTAAGAATTGCGAAATCAACATTTCTATCATGATTAGAATAACCATACACCAGTGAAATCGGTGAGCTACCTATTTGAGAGCCTGCTGAAAATTGAAACGGATTTGTGAATGCAACAGCTAGAAACATAAAATAATTTATATTCATAATATGGCTAAACGCTTCGTATTTTAAATTTTTTCTTTTTTTCGTACATGGAAATCCAGCGCTTGAAAAAGCATTTATTACTGATAGCCTAATTTAAAATTCAAGAGATAAAGTTTTGATGAATTGCTCACGTTAAAAATACTGAATTAGTTGGATGACAAATTGCAATCAAACTATCCTTTGATACAACATCCTTATTCATACAGCTCTCTCATGATATGTAAAACAATAAAAACTCGTAAGTCAAGATAGTATTTATCTTGAAAATATCTTAGTATCTGACTGGAGATATAGTGTTCTCAGAAGAACTGGTTCGTCATATCGATGATGGTCATGTCTAACATTTTTATAAAGCATTTTTACCACTGAAAACTCCAAAAACAAAAAAAGATGTCTGTGACAGAAGTGTTTGTTATGTTTTGATTCAGGGAACCACGATTATTTGCTAATTTACAATAGAATGATTCGATGTGAATATGGAAGAAGAATTAAGATCAGGTGCTTCTTTCAAGAATATAGTAGATGAGACTTTATATTATTACAATTTATGCACAAAATACCTTGGTACCATTTATAATATTTGATAGTGTACGGATCAATCTTATATGTATACATGCTAAATTGATAAGCTAGAACGAAGTATAACTCAAAAAATGCTCATCGATTTAAGTATTTAGTGCTGTTTAGCTTAAAATTTTCTATAAATTCAATTAATATTCAAACGCTATAGATCACTAGGCTCCACATAATGTATGTTATCGTTGAGTTTCTTGTCATGTGTCTGAAGAAATCAACATCGAAGTTCTTTTTGAAAAAATCTATAATAGAAAAAGAGATAGGCCATTCGATTTATAAATAAAATTGAGCAATTACTTATCACATGTATGAACTGCGTGGTTTGAAATAAAAAAGAGCATAAAAAGTGCATCCATACTTGAAAACAGCATGGTTGTTCGTGTTCCAAGAATAGCACCGATATTGGTTGCTACAATGCACGTAGTTATCATTAGACACATGGGTACAGCAAAGTGCTTCTTTTGATACCACTAACGCCTGACAATTTTGATTATATGCAAGATATTTCAAAACAAAACTCACTTGATTTTAGGATATAAGCGTGCACCTAACAATAGAGGAAATTGAAGTTCGATAAATAAATCGAAAATATTCAAAGTACCTTGAAAAGGAGGTTCGAGTAGTGTTTCCTCTGGTACAACCTGTTTCAAGTGGATAATGTGAAGATCAGATGCTGGACTAAATTGTGATTGCACTATCATGTGAGTACCGGGTAGAAGTAAAATTTCATCTTCAGTCGCAAAATGTGAATGGGCACGCACTGTTCGTCCATTGATAGCTTCGACAAAAAGCAATGTTCGTGCATCTGTAGTACCCAAATACATATTATTTTCAAGCACCACCAATTCGGTTGTAGTGGATGAAAATGTCCACCACATAATTGGAGTGCCAGGTGGAAATTCAGCATTCAAATCTTTAAAGTAGGGTTGTAGTTCTTCACGGCTGCAATACTTCCATGTATGATTAAGCATTGAATAAAGACTTCAATGTGGTACTTTCCATTTAATGGTATAAAGACGAATCGTAGCACTCTCATCAATTGCCATATTAACACAGAAAGATAAATTGTAAAGAATATCGACCAAAGGAGCACATGCATCAACGAGAGGCAAAGGAGGCTCGTCAACATAACCAATAATCGGTGATTCGTCTGTTCCATGATTTTCGATTTCATTTGCACTATTTTGATTGCCTTCAACGACAGGTAATTCTACAGATTGTTGTTCCTCTGCTACATAGCTGTCATATCTATAATCAACATTTTCATCGTGTACAGTTACATCACCTTGATAAACCTGTTCGTTGCCACATAGAGTCGAAATCTGTTCATCCAAGTTGCATGTTGACTCTTTAGGCATCCTGTATTTTTTCCGATTTGCCTTTTTTCTGAAATTATCACTCACCTGTTGCGAATCTTGGTTTTGTGTGTTGAAAACACCAGTTACTATATCTATTTGCTGGTTCATTGGTAAGTCTTCGAAAACGTTAATTGTCGGGTGGTTTGGCACCTCGATATATTCTACTACTGCTCTGCTTTTCTTTTTATGACCACACACCATTGATGTTTTCGATGAGTGATGCTGCTGATCTTGATAAAGAGAACATTAAATTCAATATTCCACGATTCGAAGGTAACGGATGTTCTTAAGAAAATGAAACTCTCCGCCTTTTTAGGATAACTATTTTTAATATTCGTCTTTTAATTTTCTACAATACGTTATGTTAATTTTGATTAAAAAGCTATTAAACAAAAAGAATTTTTCCGATCACACTTCGTATTGGTTGAATAAGAATTTATTTTGATGTTACTTTCTTTCAATTGATGGAATAAACTAATTCAGGTCAGTTTGAATAGTTCAATATATTTAAGTCTGCCATATATGATTGTTAATGTTCCTTTTTTATAGATTTTAAGTAAAAATGATTCTTGCACCACTATCATGTTAAGAAGGGATGAATGTCAAGTTTCGACAAGGGGGGAAAATATTTTTGATAATACGAGATCTTTGAAATAAAAATTTCAGAAATGATTGAATATGTCAGCAAAACGATAAGAAACCTGATATTCATCCCTTCTTAACACAAAGGTGATACACGAAAAATTTTTACCTTAAATCTATAGGCAAGTAACATTGACTCTCACATATTGCAGATTTAAATATATTGAACTATTCAAAATGACACAAGCTAGTTTATTCCATCAATTGAAAGATCGTAATATCGCCAGAAACTCTTAATCAACAAATAAGAGGTGCCATCGAAAAAATTATTTTTCTTTGACAGTTAGAAAATTAAAAGACAAATCTTTTGATGAAAAATAATGTCTGAAGAGACAAGTATGCAAATAGATATTCTCAAAGTACGGAAAGGTTTATTTTCCTCGAAACATCCGTTATATTCCAACAGAAAGAATACTCGAGAAAATTCGATTAACCATGCAGTTGTTCATAAACACCTGATCGTTATCTTGTTTGCTATACATGCTCTGATCGTACAATGCTGCGATACAATGAGTATATTGTTGTTTATAAGCTTCCGAAGTTTCTGTATTCGTTTTATTTTCTTCTACTGTTATACCGTTGCCAGTTCGATAATTAATTCAAAGATATGCTTTTTGTATGAGTACGCGTGTGCGAATGCTTGTCTAATTCTATTGATGCGCATTTTTAATTTGTTATGCTTTACGGACACTAATGCCGCATCAAAATAATTAACACTTTAGCGCAGAATAAATTATTCTAAAAAATTTGATGGGCATGCTTTTATGAAATATTATAATTGGTATTGTGCATTATCAAAATTGGTATATGAGTGTTGCTTTGCATGTTCTCTAGACTGAAAGGATAGAGTCTAGAAATGGGAACTCACCTATGCCTGTCTCTTTGTACGTCTGTAACACATATATTTCGTGATTAGTATGAGATAGAGAGCCATAGTTCTTAGCTGTGGTATGAAAGATCAATTTTAGCGACTGTGATACCAAGTACTAAGTTTCCAGATATGGAACCAGAGGACAAGAATCGACAAATGAAGAACTGTTTTACTGTATTTCAAAACGTTTTTGCTTGTTAACGAAAGTGGAAGTCTTATATTGAAGAAAGTTCAAATCGTTTGTCGTAGGAACTTAAAAACGCTCTTTCTACAATGCTACCTACAATTTTGATTATTTTTAAACTTTCGTATTTACTCATGTTTTTACTTTGCTACCATATAATTTATATTCTATTTATCATAAATGCGTGGTCCATGCCAGTGTAGAGTTAAGTGAATCGATTCTTGATTAGCGTTACTTGCTCTATTTCATGATGTATACCTGAGCTTAGAATTTTTCTCATTTAAAAATTGTCTTTGAAAATGTCTCTTCTACAAAACTCAAACTTTATTAGATTTTAAAGTCACCTATATAGCCCAATTAGCTTCCACGTTGTCCGAACACTACTGTGTCGTGTCTTGAATTAAAGTCTGCTAAACATATGATACTATTGTTAGAATAATCCTTCTATGATTTAAGGGTTTCATGTATTTCATTCAATCATACTATCACAAAAAGCTGAATAAAAATGAAACTTTACTGAGGATAATGAGTGTAGCTATTCATAAATCAGTCGTGGTGCCACATTCCGCGGTAAAATAGCTGCTAAACTCTCGCACGACTTTGCTCTAAGCCAATGAAGCGTCATATCAGCTGCATGCATAGTAAACACGGCATTATCCTGAATATGTTCATCAATGTGATGATATGCATAACACACTGTAACTTTATTGCAATAATCGACATTTGTTGCTACAAGTAAATAGGTTGATGTGCCATTTTTGCCGTGGAGCTTGAATTCCAATTGCTTGAACTCTGTTGCACTGGGACCACTAAGTTCAATATTGAAACATAATGTTCTTTCAAATGTATTCCATCCATCAGCATTATTTAAGTTTAGAATATATCCTAAGCCTTGTAGATATCTTCTACCATCTGCAATGTTATTCAATACTTTCGAACTATTATAGCTAGTATGATTTTTCGACCAAGGTCTGTTCAACCAGTCCTCTTCACAAGCCTCGACATATGCACGTTTAACACGAAATTCATTTGCCATCTGAAAAATAGAAGAAAAAAACGTATGACATAAAGAATGAATGTGAAAACGTGTATGGAACTTTTACTGCACATCTCTACATAAAAGTAAGTAAGGAGAAACAAATTAGATTACTTTTATTTCTTTATTCTAAGTTTAGAAAAAGAGCGAAAAAACATGAGTAAAGGTCAATTTCGGAGCCTTCCTTCTGAGTGCACACTATTGAGTTGAACTCCAATAGCCATTTCAACTCTGTATCGAGTTTTCTCGATCACTACAACTGAAAGCGTGCAAGGGATTTCTCCAAAGTTTAATGGATATGAAAATTCTGTAGGATATTTCAAAGATTTGATATCA